TGTGGTGGACGGAAGACAAATGGCAGAGGCTGACAAAGGTCTAATCATGGAAGGGCAAGCTAATTTTATTAACCTCTATAATACATAATGTATAATCTTAAAGGAACCAAAATTACAGAGGTTTTTGACAAATCAATAATACAAATAACCTCTATTAATCAAGACAGAAATCCAATGAAAATTATCTTAACCAAGAGAGGGACTTTATTGGCTCACAAAACTTTTAAAGTCCAGAGGTAGGGCAGGCTTTAGGCACAGCTGGATCGAGGCCTTTTTTTAAAAAAAACAAAACAGCAAAAACACCCCTACACACACACACAGCCCCCCCCCCCCAAAAAAACCAAGCCTTTCAGGACTCAGTGGTTTCTATTTCTGCTACTCTTTTAAAATTTCTTCTCAGATGGTACAATTTTAGGCTTACATAATCCTTGTTGGAATCTTGCTAGAGCTTTCTTCGAAATAGTTCCAGAAACCTGCGGAGAGTTCTGTCACCTGGCTGATGTTACCTACACATTCTGGAATAGCTGTGACTGGGGAGTCAGGGATTCAGAACAGCCAGGTCTGTGAGTGCTGACCCTGTGTGGGGTTTGGAGAAGAGTTTGTTGGGTTTGGAGAAGAGTTTATCACCGATGCCACAGGGAGTTCGTTCCCCACAGTAAAGAAACTGTTCCATTATCAGAAGGTAGGGAAAGATGCAGAAGAAACAAAAATTACAGCTACACATAGCTCAACAGCAAAAGAGATAAGGTAAAAATAGAAATGGGCAATGAGCCCGGCACCTCAACCTCATTACTAATCGTGGGAATTCACATTAAAAGAAAAAACAATTCTTTTCCTCATCACATAAATCTGTCAAGTGTAGATACTGATTATACAGGGAGTGAGCACTTTCCACACAGGAAGAGTTGCAGGCAAGGCCCACCCTAGTCTCCCAATCTAGGACTCCATCCTAATATCCATACACCTGCATGAGTACATCTCAGTAATATGCTTACTAATAGCAAGAGAAAGGAAAAGTGCTGCTTTCCTAGTACTGAATCCAATTTAGCCATTAAAAAAAAAACACCAAACCCTGAAGACTTCTTAAAAAAAAAAAAAAGTGAGCCTGGGTAGCATGATCCTGTTTGTGTGTGTGCCTGTATGTTCTTATGGAACTGGATAAAAAGGGACTAGAAGACATACACTAAGCCAGAAAGTGAATGAGATGTGAAGTGCTGGCGGGAAGGGCCTCTCTTTGCTTCTATGTTTGTACATTGTTTAATTTTATAAAGTGAGAAATTAGTTCTTTGTATTCCATCATATTTAAAAAATACAAATTTACAAAACAAAAATATAAATGACCAATAAACACATGAAAATGTTCTTCCTCATTAACAATCAATGAAAAATATAAAACAAATTTTACCTGTTAAACAGGAAAAAAATTTTTTGCAGAAGATGCAGGGTTAGGGAAAGTGTAGGCAAACAGGAACTTTTAGTGATGCAAACTGTTACAATGTTTTTGGTGTTTATTTCTCAAAATGTGCACCATCTTGATCCACTTGATGTTCCGAAAGAAATCCCTACACGTGTGGTAAAACTTTATGTACAGATGCTTGCTTTATGTGGAATAATAAATCAGAACTTACTGAACCACGAGTAAGGAGTTGGCTAAATAAAATACATCATATTCATGCCATGGAATGGTATGGAGCCATCAAAAAAGAGTATCTCTATCAAAGCAGGAGAGAAAAGGCCAGTCTTAGTGCAGTACATGTAAAACAAGCATAAAAGTACCTACCTCCTGTGGTTGCTGTGAGGCTTGTTAGACCACTAAAGCTTAGAATGGTTTCTGACAAAGCAAGCACATGTTATCATCTACGAAAACATTCTTGATTAAATATATTCACTCCTAAGCCCAGAAAACTAACAAACCAAGCTAACTATTACTTCGGAGAGAGAATGTGAGTTGTACTCCATTACACAATTGTGTCTTTAAAAAAAAAAACAACTTGAACAGTCTTTATACCAGCTTTCACATTGTTAACCATACAGGGTGAAATCAGAAAATTAATCAAGGGTCCTCATGGGGAATCTGTACAAAACAATGTCTATAGAACTAGGATTAGTTAGCCAAGCTGGTTCTGACTACATACAAGTAGTCTTTGAATCTGGCTTTCCTAATCTACAAATCTAAATCACTGCAGTTGTCCCAATTCATAGATGACCGACCCTCCAGCATGTTTTGAGAGGCTGTAAATCACACGGGAGAAGAATGCCTATCTTTGTCACTCAGAGCTGCTGATGGATTCAAACCTCCACGGGCACTACTTTGGACTAACAGTACAACTCTGTGTGTGTGTGGGGGGGGGGGGGAATGGACGGACTGTGTTTAACCTCAAAGCCAGCCCAGGGAAAACAATCAGCCACCAAGCAGATGCTCAGTGGCTTTCAGCAGGTACCAACAGCCTGCACGCTGAGACAGACTGCTCATGCGCTAACCAGATATGCTGGCTATGCCACTGTGTAAATGCCTCCTCACTACTTCACTGGAGGCTGGCACTTCCAATAATGGTGATGTGAATATAAATTAACCTCTGGATGAACTCATTAATTCTTTAACAGTGATTTCTAATTCCTCATGGGTGGAGCCTTACATGGGGAGATTACAGACGTATACTCCCCATTTCTGTGTACTTCAATCCAGCTACCTAGTCTGTGTTCGTCCGCCCTCCCGAGCCTGCCGCCTTGCCTGTCTTGGAATCCTTCCTAAATCACGTATTAACAATCAGAATTGGCAAGAGAGAACTGCATTTGCCACCTCTGATCCTACTTCTTCTAAGACCTCACATTCTCAAAGATTTCTGACAAAGTTCTCACTGGATACCCCTTTGTATAAAGACCATCAGTAAAAGGCACATCATTTTAGCCACTGAGAGGCTGCTCCCTTCTTACCACTCTGATACAAGAATGTGTCATTCCCGCAGCCACACTCCAAATACGCCACCTCAAAACCTAACTGGCAAGAAGCTAAGGATAAAGAAATAAACTCAGATGGTTTTATCTCAGAGCAGAGGGGTTTATAGTTTTATTGGACATTATTTCCTCAGCCACAAAAAGACCCAAATAAAGTCCCTACATTTTGTATAAATTAAAATACATTATATCATTACTACATATTTATACTTCAATAAATCTTCATCTATAAAGCACATTTTTTTTAATAACTGTTATCCAAACATAAAGCAGCTCCACTCTGCAACACTTCTCCACAGCTGGCTTTGCATTTATTTCTATGCTTTATAACAGGGTCATGCAAACCTCACCTTCCATCTTCACATTTGATCCAAGCACCAGATGTAACCAAAATCTCTAGAATTATGAAATATTTTGTGTGCCATTTCCCACACAATGATGCCCACTCTAAAAAAAAATAAGGGAGAAGGGGTAAGCCTTTTCTCCTATTCTTATCCACAGTTTTCCAATAAATAGAAGAACCGTAGCACTTGGAATTCTCAGCCAAGGAGCATTTAATCTTACTACTACAATATTTATTACCGTAGCAATACATTTTAAAAAATGTGTTAAGGCTGAAATATTTTTAAAATGTCAATTCCAATAATTAATAAACTAGATGTTAATAAGCTAGTCACTTAATATTTTAAACAAAACAGTCCATTTCAACTTAACATGTTAAGTACAACCTCCATGCTACTGGAGATTTCTTCAAAGTCTCACAAACTTCTACACCATAATATAGTTATCTCTGACTCAGCTCTGAAAACTGCTGAAGACTTGGCTAGCTCTTTGAGCTGAGTTACCTCCTCCCTGCTAACCATAACTCCCTGGTCAAAGAATTATGGCTCTCAAGTCTCAGTGGTGACCTTTCCCAGGATTGGTCAGACACAGGGGAAGAGTAACTCAGAGTAAAGTTCTTACCAACTCAACACCAATGGTTTACAGTGGAAGAAATACCTACTATTTATGGTACCTAGCACAGTGTCTTGTCGTTGAAAATGTTCAATAAACACATAGCTGTTTTGTTTTTCAAACTGGTGTTCAACCCCAAAAAAATAAAAGTAGCAAACAAATCTGAACCTTGCTGCCTACTTGTAAGAGAATTCTGTCCGTAACAAAGATGAAGGCAAAATATTAATTCTATCTTCAAGTCTTTTGTTTTCTAGAAGCCAAGACAAACCAGCATCCTTCCCTTTACATTTGCCTTCCAACAATGCCATGCACTACAAACTCTCGCCTCCTGTTCTAGTAATGACCTTCGGTTTTAACTGTTGCTTAGACTGTCCTTATGCTTACAAAGCATGAAGTATAGTATGTTCACTAGCGAGATACCTCCCAAGGACGTACAGGATGAGGTGGGGTTTTGTCCAGTAAGAGAGCAGCATTTAGATAAAGTCTTGACATAATTCAATTTTTAGATCAAAGTGTCAGTGTATCTTCCCTAATCTCAAGTATTCCACTCACTATGAAATGCTTTGTCACCATCAGCTCTTAACCAGAATTTCAAGGTTCATTTTGAGGCCATTAGCTATCCTTTATCTCTAATTTTCAGAAATATTTAAATTAGGTAGAAAAGACATAAGGTTTATTTTGAAAACATGGTTTCAGTTTTCAGACTTTAAACTCCCATGTTGCCTTTTAATTTAGAGCGGAATGTTATCCTTGCAAAAAATATTTCCTGATCAACACAGAAAGAACTCATCTGTCTAAAAGTGAAACCAAGAAAAGAACAAAGAATCAGGTAGTTCATTATTTGGAAACATAATAGAAGGTATAAATATCACATGGAAGATTTAGGCATTAATACCTGAATTAAGTTTAAAATTTCAGTTTCTAGGCAGACATGACACTGTCTCTCATGAGTAATCATATTCTACGTTTCCCAGTGGATTTTCTGACAGTCAAAGGGGAAATAAACTATTGTGTATCATCTCCTGTTTTAATTTTGTCTTCATTTCTGAAGAAAAAGACCTGAGTGCTAAATTTTTTTTTTAAAAAACTGCTTAAACTTTCACAACGTTCAGAAGTTTTTCTGCATTGTGTCTCCTCTGATGTCTAAACAGATTGGAGCTTTGACTATAGGACTTCCCACACTGAACACACTCGTAAGGTTTCTCCCCAGTATGGATTCTCTGGTGATTGATAAGCCCAGAATTCTGGCTAAACGCTTTCCCACATTCAAGACACTTGTAAGGTTTTTCTCCAGTATGGACTCTCTGGTGCTGCACGAGAATGGAGCTTCTGCTGAATGCTTTCCCACACTCAACGCATCCATACGGCTTCTCCCCGCTGTGAATTCGCTGATGAAGAATAAGGGCTGAGCCCTGACTGAAGTGTTTTCCGCATTCGTCACAAATATGCTGTTTCTTTCGAGATGGATTTCGCTTTCTTTCAAACCTGCCCTTGGGGAAACAGGCTTCTCCATATTTAAAAATCTGAGGAACACCTATATTCAAAGTGCCAGGAGCAACTTCATGAGATTGTACTGTTGATGGAATCTCCTGCTTTGGAGCTACTGTTCCATTTTCAGTCCTAGCATCATCATCTGAAACACAGAAAAAGTAAAGAGCATTTACCTTCTGTTCTGGGACAAAGGAACCTGCAAAAATCAAACAACAAACTGGGAATTAAGAATGAAAGGTTGCAAACATCCATAAACAGCCCTACGTAAAATGCTGTTAAGGCTGTCAACTATTAGAAAGCAGGGGCAAGACTATGAGGTTAAGAAGGTTAAGGGCATAGCATAATGAAGTATTAATAGACTGTATCTGAATTTAAGTGAGAACACACATCAGTGAGCTGTAAGTGGTATTCATAAAAAAAAGGGAAAAAAAAAGAAAAAAGGATGATAGATCCCAAATTAGTTAAGTAAAGTGAAGTGGTTAAGTCTAGCAGAAATGGTAAGAAAAATAAAAATAAAATTTATCCAGTACAATGTTCTTTTGCTTTGAGTCAAGAACTCATAGCAAAATATTAATCCATAAATAACAAGCAATCTATCAAAAGTTTATTTCTGTAATGTGCGAGACTAAGGTGGTCACAGCAGAGAGAAGACTAATGGTGGAGCACAGAAGAGAGTGCTGATGAAAGAGTGCTGAGCAATGGGCACCCCAGGGCGTCCTCTGATATCACTGGGATGTGCTATTTAAAATTTTAACATGTTCCTTAATAAAGAAAAGTTTGCATGTAAAAGAAGCCTGCCTGATTTGGTATTTGCCTAAGTAATTAGAGAAGTCGTACATTTCTAAGTTGAATTACTGTGTCTGGTGAAAGAAAAGCCTATATTATCAACAAGAGGTACCACCATGTATGCTCCACTCAGAAATAAGAGCAAGCCCAATCAATCGCCTGAGTCCAAAGGGCAATACTGACCCAAACCAAAGATGAGAGTGCAAAGAGGTAGGGGGAGTGAGGGGCCAGACAGGGAACTGAGGGGAGAAAAAGACAAAGTGCTAACACCCTGGGAGAAATGCAACAAATGTCACAGAATAACATGCACAATATGCTCTATTCATTAGAAAACTAATTTGTTGCACAACATTTTCAACAAAAGCACTACAAAATGTTACAAGAAATAAGTGCAAGATTTATTAGCCAACTAAAACGTCCCACTTTTAAAAAGACAGGCAGTTGACTGTAGAATTAAGAAGCACTTACAAAGTGAGTAAGTAACAAATGACGAACAAAAAGTTACTCCTCAGAAAGGTGGTCTCTTGTCATGAAGATTTAGAGCCTCAGGACCTGCCCAAGGGTCCCTATGTGATGGAATTGACTCAAAGGCAGAGGGTCCACTTGAGTGGGGATAACCTGCTCAGGCCTCCCTCTGACTGACACACACGAGGGTATCCCCAACCGTGGCCAGGAAGGATGCCCAAAGCAGATTCAAACAAAATTCCATTTTAATCTATGTGGATTTTTAAAATAAACCCCACGGTTTTAGAAGTACACTATAAGGGATTGTGTTGGAAGGACACAAGTAGGTTTAATATTTAACACATTGGGAAAGAATGGGCTAAGTGAACTATTACAAATGTAACTGGTTTATTTAATTTGTCTGCACTTAAAGCATGTTAACTTAAAAGAACTCATTTTTTGTTATGACCACCTGGAGAAAGTAGAGAATTTTTTAGTCATCCACTTCCCAAGCAACATGCCTCCGGAAACTCTAAGAACTCTGATAAATGTCGACAGTCGTAGAGGGGCTTCAGGCCTTTTGTTCATAGGATCACTATGACTCATGCCCAACTTGAAAGCAATCAACAACAACATCATTTCTGTAAGAGAAGTGTCTTAGGATGTTGAAGAAAACAGAGGAGCTATTTACAAAAGGTTGTTGTATTTTTTTACTAGAATGAGAATACTAACTTAATTCAAATTAAGGTTCAGTTATATTGAACAGAGTAATGAAGCAACGCTTACACCCAAAAGATTAGGCAGGAGATAAGATAGTAAAAGGGTATAGAACAGCTAGTAAATAAGCATTGTTAGGTTGTAGCCAGTTGATTTCTTCTCATGGTGACTCCAGAGCATAAGTGAGCAGAGCAGTCCCCAGGGCTTTCTTGGCTGTGACCTTCTAAAAGTGGATTGTGGTCTCTCTCCTACAGATCTGCTGGGTATAAAATCTAGCAACTTTTTGGTTGGTTAGTAGTTGAGTCCTTTACCAAGGTTTCAAATAAGCAAGACTGCATGCAAAATAGAGGACTTGATAGTCTACATGGAGGCGCCAGCCCAGACTAAGGCAAATTCAGCCTAGTGTGGACAGGTCTTCAAAAAAGAAGCTGAAAAGAATGACAAGACGGATGACATTTACCGAAATGGAGTTTAACTGAGGTCAGCAATGAGACTAAAAATCAACAAGCTAGAGAGTGCTTATGTCCAAGGAGTCCAGGTAACAGTAATGCCCACGACAGTGAAAACAAGCAGAGCATTCTGGACCCGAGTGACAGACATCAGAGACTGCCCTCTGTGGTGAAGGCCTGCACTCACGTTCCACCCTCAGAGCTCCAGGCCTTACCACAGTGCCGGAGGGAATGCAGTTCCCACGATGCCCACTTGAGCTGGTTCTCCACAGCATCAAGCTCAGAATTCGGTAATCCCTGAGCTTCGTCTTGAGACACAACCTCCTCTACTAACACTTCACGCTTTCGCCGTCGAAGAGAAACCTGGAAAACAACGGGATCTGGTTCGGCAAGGAAGACATTTTTATGAGAATCAGACTAAAAACCCAGAAATAATACAAGATAGACAAGTAATCCTTGACTTAGGATAGGCATCTATTCAAATGACTTTATGGTTAGTTCCGATATAATCTTGAACACTCTTTTTTCCCCTTGAGATATTACTGTAAATTTATAAAGAACTTGGATTTCCATTTCTTTGTTACACATTTTCCTCCCTGTAGTCCCTCCTCCCCCAGTTTTTTTCTTTGGGAAAAAAAGATCTTTCATTGTTATATGGTCCTCCCCACTCCCACCCCCCCTTTTACCATGCATCTCTTATTCTGGACTCTTGCCATGTTAATAATACTTCATCATGTATTCCTTTTATGCAGTTCTCTCCCTCGTCTGTTTCAATGCCATGTACATTATTTATCCCATTTTCTTAGTTTCCCCCCAAGCCCCCTTCAGTCCTGTTTTTATAACAGTGGCATTATACAATATTTGTCTTTTTGTGACTGAGATTTCACTCAGCATGTCCTCCATCATTACCCATTTTAGTTGTTTTTCAGTGCTTCCTAATATTCCATTGTGTAAATATACCACATCTTCTCTGTCCATTAGTTTGTTGACAGGCATTTGGGTTGTTTCTAACTCCTTGCTATTGTGAACAAAGCAGCAATAAATATGGGTGTGCACATATCTGCTTGGGTGTGCATATATCTGCTTGGGTGGCACTGCTGGTCTCTTTGGGGTATATTCCCAGTAGTGGAATTGCTGGGTCAAATGGTATCTCTAGTTCCAACTTTTTAAGAAAACGCCACACCGCCTTCCACAGTGGTTGCACCATTTTACACTCCCACCAACAGTGAATAAGGGTTCCAATTTTTCCACAACCTTGCCAGCATTTGTTGTTTGCTACTCTGTTGAATTCTGCTATTGTTTACTGGCTGGTATGAGATATCTCATAGTTGTTTTGATTAGCATCTCTCTTAGAGCTAGGGACTTTGAACATTTCTTCATGTGCTGTTGGCTATCTGAATGTCTTCTTTGGTGAATGTCTGTTCATATCCTGTGCCTATTTTGCAATTGGGTTTTTTACCTTTATCTCATTGTGGTGCTCAAGTATTCTATAAATTCTAGATGTAAGTCCCTTATCAGACATGTTATTATCAAATATTTTTTCACAGTCTGTGGCTTCCCTTTTTACCCTGTTGGAGAAGATCCTATTCATCTATTTTATCCTCTCCTGGTTATAGGTTTTCAGGGACTGTTCATGTTGTGGATTAGTGCATCTAGAGTTCACCTGAGCTTTTTTCTAATGAAGTTTATATTCCCTGGCTTTAGTCCCTGGTCCTTGATCCACTCTGAGTTGGTTTTTGTGCAAGGTGTGAGGTGTGGGTCTTGTTTTGAGTTCACAATGGAGATTTCTTTGTTACATTTTATGTTAGTACCTTTATAAAACCATCTTTTTCTCTTTGGTGGTTAGAAACATTACATATAAATTCAGAGATTAATAACAACAGTAGTTTACACAATGTAACACTGTGTGCAGTGCATCTAACAATAGGATACAGAAGGGGAAACAGTTGTAAGTGCAGTCTGAAAACTCACACACATGAAGGACTACCTCAACTGCAGGTCTAGAAGGCAAAGCAGCTCAGGTATTAAGCAGCAGTGAGGAAAAAAGGAATAAACGTAATTCTAACTTAGGTGGGTGAAATCTGTAACTGAGCAGTTTTGCCCACCAGTACTTCTGACACAGCACCAGTGGCACCAGCACTTACTGGCTGTCCAGGGTCATCAAGCTCACTCTCCAAATCTTCAAGCACCGTCACTGCCTCTTCACCGTTCTCTGGATGGTGCTCCCGAACCCAAGTCTGAAGTTCTTTTGGGAGGATAGCTACAAACTGCTCCAGCACAACCAGCTCCAAGATCTGTTCTTTTGTATGTGTCTCCGGCCTGAGCCACAGGCGGCACAGTTCTCGAAGCTGGCTCACAGCTTCTCGGGGCCCAGGCGAATCCTGGTATCCAAACTGCCTGAATCGTTGTCGGAAGATCTCTGGGTCCGGGAGATGACTCCAGGGGATACTGGAACCCTCTTCACCATCAGGGTCCTCCTCCAACTTCACTCTCAGAATCTTTTCTTCTTCATCTGGAGTTGGGATGATAAGTATTGAATCTTCTTCCACTGACTGGGCAGACATCTTGAATCACAATATTTTAAGAAAAGGTAAGGCAGGAGGCAGGACTCAGGCCTCAGAGATAATCCTTGTTCCTGTCACAGCACTCCTAAAGTTTAAAAGAAAAAAAATTAACTTATACCAGAAAATCTGTATTAAATATCAGAGCTTAGGTAACACCTGCTAGCTTTTGTACGGTCCTAGTCCTGGTCTTAATTGTTTCCTCATTTTCAAACGGTTGAAAATATCATAGGCTATTTCACAACCCATGAAATTGACAGGAACTTAAAACTTGTATCCATAATCAGTCTTACCAGAATACAACAACATTCATTTGCTCACATTTCATAGTATATATAAAGAGCAGAGTAATAGAGACTGAAACTCTAAATTCTAAAAAGAATCCAAGTAAGAACCAACCCAGATTTGATTTCTAAACAAACTCAAGGCCTTCATTCTCTTTTTTGTTGTTGTTGTGTACCTCAAATAGGATCCAACTGGCACAGGAAGATTGCCCCTCCTTCTTCAGCAGAGCATCTGTGTGCCTTTGGGATTACAGCAAAGCTTCTTGCCACTAGATCATTCTTCATTTTCTCTTGTTACCACTGAACAAACCCCACGTTATTCAGCAGAACTTTTCCAAAGAGTGTTCTTCACTGTAATTTTGACTGAAGCACATCATCCAGCCTTTCCTCTGTGGTATAGCCAGAGAGGTTCAAACCACCAATCTTTAGAATAGCTGAACACAAACTGTGCCAACCAGGAGCCTTGCATTTGAAGCTAGTGAGATGTGAAAGCCTTGGGGGAGTAAGCTAGGCATCAACTAGACTCTGTCACAATGAGAGCGAGGAAGGGAATGGAGACGGAGGTACCTTATGTGCAGGGTAAAACCCCTCCATGACGTTCTCAAAGCCATGAGCTTTCAGAAGACTGTTAAGCTTGCCTTCTGTGGCACCTCTGGTTGGGTTCAGATGCCCAAATTCCATATTTGATGGTTGTTGTTGTGTGCCAGCAAGTCAGAAGTGACCCACAGCAGACCCTCCAGTGGGTTTGCAGAGGCAATAAATTGCACAGGAGACTGCCCATACTTCTGCCACAGAGCAGCTGGTGGATTCAAACCAATTACCTGTGGGAATACTTTTTACCATTTCATTTTCTTTATCTACAAATGTTAAGCTAAAAACCAAGTTGCTCAGTGCAGCATTTGTTGTTGTTATGTGCCGTCGAGTCGCTTGCGACTCATAGGGGCCCTATGTACAACAGCCCTAAACTCCGCTCTGTCCTGTGCCAATCACACTGTCTCTGACACTCCCATCCCAATTATCCCAATCACTGAATCAATCCACCTCATAGAGGGCCTTCTCCTCCTGCGCCGTCCCTCCACCCTCCCAAGCATGATGTCCTTCTCCAAGGACCGGTCTCTCCTCACAACATGTCCAAAGTATGTTAGACAGAGCCTCAGAATTCTTCCCTCCAAGGAGCCACCCGGTTTAACCCTTTCCAGGACAAATCTGTTTGTTTTCCTAGCAGTCCATGGTATTCTCAATACTCTTCTCCAGCACCACAGCTCAAAGGCATCAATTCTCCTTCTATCCTCCTTGGTCATTGTCCAACTCTCTGATGCATAACAAGTGACTGCGAAGACCATGGCCTGTATCAGATGCACCTTAGTCTCCAGAGAGACACCATTGCTCTTCAGTACTTTGGAGAGGTCCCTAACAGCAGACTTTCCCATGGCAATACACCTTTTAATTTCCTGGCTGCTGGTGCCAAGACTGTTGACTATGGAGCCAAGCAAACTAAAGCTGTGTACAATCTCAATCTCTTCACCATCCATCCTGATGCTGCCAATAGGTCCAGTGGCGAGAATCTTTGTCTTCTTGACATTGAGCCTCAATCCATATTGTAGGCTGCAGTACTTGACATTCTGCAGCAGGCGCTTCAGGTCCTCTTCAGTTTCAGTAAGCAGGGTTGTGTCATTAAGTGTATTTAAATTTAGGAGAAGCATTGAAAAACTAAAACCACTACAATTGGAGTCTATTCAGATTCAAGGTAACATTTTAAGGCAGGCTTGAACTGGCACATAAGGTTTCAAAGACTATCTAAATCTTTATAGAAACAGACGTAGCTTTCCCCCTGGGGCTGGACCTGCCAATCAGTCACTACACCATCAGGGCTACTTGCACTGTTGTTAGGTGCCATCAAGCCAACTCTGACTTACAGCGACCTTACATACAGTGGACAGAAACCTCGCCTGATGCTGCACCACGCAGCATGACGAAACAGTACTTCCATAATCTCCCTGGGTTTTTGCAGAGGCCAAGAAGCCTATCCTGAAACTGGATGACTCACAGTCTTCCCAGCTTCTACCTTTAGAGAAATCCTGCACTATTCATGAGCCTTTCCTTAGTCCTTGTACAGTCATGGCCTCGGCAGTATACGTAACACAAACAAGAAACGAGCTACATAGCTACTGAATGTATTTTAGGGTCCTGAAAGGGAAGGTCAAGAATTCTAAGAAATGCATTGTACCCCTATTATAATGAAGGCTAGCAATCAGCATAGACTTTGCCGTATATAGATTTAAGGAAGCACTCTGGAAGGTAAGGACTTAGGCAGCATCTTCCTCTTTTCCAAGAACCTATTTTTTCAATAGTGCAAGCACTTCTAGATAAACTAAAACCTCTTTTAGCACAATGCTCGGGTTAAGTGGAGGGCACAGAGCGGGCAGGCCGGCAATAATGTTAAGAGTTTAAGGTGGAGACCGTTGTCGCAGGCGATCTATCACCCTTCCTCCTCCCTGCAACAGAACAGGGGCTCCGAATCCGGCACCCTGTCACAGGGGCGAGGGATTCCCGAAGAGTTAACTGCCCCCAACACTCGCAGTCGCAGCACTTCCGCCTACGCGCCGGGACTACAACTCCCGGCAGCCCTCACGCCGAGCCCGCCCGCTCCCACCTCCGCCCGATACGAGTCCCAGAACCCTCCGCGATCCGCCAGGGCCTCAAAATAGAACAAAACCGACCGGTGGGGGAGGGGGAAGGCGGGGACCGCCGTGGACACTGAGGATGGGCGAGGACGCAAAGCGATGGAGAGGATCCGAGCAAGCCCGCGTCTTCCCCTCCCATCCCCCAGCCTCCGGCCGCAGTGAACACTGTCTGTCCCCCTGCGCCTCCCTTGAGCCAAGGAAGGTTCCCCCCGGGTTCATTCACCTACTCCTTCCACGCAGTCCGCAACTTCGCGCCCAGCGTCCCCTTCATGCACCCTTCCCCGGCTCGAGCGCACACCTCAGCTCAGGACCCGCAGCAGCTTTGCCGTCCACGGCACACACAGAAACGAGGCTCCACGAGCCCTTCCCAGAAGCCTCCGGCACGGCCTGCTTCCGGTCTGCCGGCCCGAGGGGGCGGGGAGAGGCAAGCCCCGTGTTGCCATGGAGACGCGCTCCGGCGCGGGGGGAGGGGCGGCCCGCCAACAATGACCGCATTGAGATCGCGCTTGGCCGCGGGCTTTTCTCGGAGGGACAGCTCAGAGTTCTGTGTGCGGCTCAAAAAGAAAAAGGGAGAAAAAGAGAAGTCTGTCCTTGTGGTCGTCTTCAGCAGGCCTCACACTAGCTCATGTGACGCCTACAGTGATTCTCTGGGAGCAGTTAGCCGCACTTAGGAGGGCTGACTGACTACACTGTGCCAGGCACTGCTGTCCGCACTCGTGTTTGAAGTCCAGTTCTCACAACCACCCTGTAATGATAGCACAGGCGAGGGGTCTGGGGCAAGCATAAATAACCTGCCAACAGCTCTCAGCTGGCAAGCGGGAAACACGGTCTGCAACAGTGGCAGAGCAAAAGGACAGCGCCTGATTGAAATGAAAAAGAAAGCTTTTAATGAGAGGCGAGGAAAGATGCAAGTCGTCAGTTACGGAATCCAGGGAATTGTGCACCTAGTGATTCCAAGGAGGACGTGGTGCAGAGTGCAAAAAATGCATATCAGGAAATCCTGCCCACCAGGTCGGAAGCTTGCCCAATCTCGCACCATCATCGGGATCTCTGCCATGTTCAAGCCCGCTGTGGCAGGCACTGTGCCAGTCCAGCGCCTTGAGGACCTTCTTCCCCTTCGCTGACCTTTCCTGGCATCATGTTTCTCTCCAAGGCCTAGGGTCTCTTAAAAATATATTAAAAGTAAGAAGAAGTTTCACCACCCTTGCACACTTTGGTTGCACTTCCATCCTCTAGACAAATTTGTTTGTTCTTTTGGTACATAAGAAAATGGTAAGATGACATACCTCTCTAAAGTTTTGTTTTGCTTTTTTGTTAAGTTATAGAGTAAATTGAGTACATTTAACCTCAAACCCCTGAGCCCCTGATTGCTTTATTGCAAGAAGATACGAGAGTAAAAGCAAATATATGTTCTGACAATTGTTTGGGACCTGGTAGCTGGTAGAAACTGTAGGCAAACAAAATTACTTTGTGTTCCGAAATTTGCCAAGTCATTTTCTCAAGTACGATGAAGGAATGGCAGGCCATATTTCTGAAGCAGAGGTCAGCTTTTGCTTCAAAGTGGAGTTTCAGGTTGAGACCTTGGGCTAGCCACCACCCTTGTGCTTGGAGTCCCTATTTAATCTGGAGGTGCCCTTAAGTTAGAGTAGGAGGAGTTCTCTGGAGCCTAACATTAGAGTATAAGAGTATCTCCCGATCTTGGGAGTTTCCTGGGCCTAACAAAGAATCAGAGTTTCTCCAAGGCTTAGTTTGTTAGTTGGACATGGTCTATACAGACCGCATCCTGAAGATTAATGGAGCAAAGACAAGAACATGAAACATAGGCAGAAGAATATCAAAGAAAATTTTAGTAAGCAACAAAGCTGCATAGAGTAAATTTTATTAAGGAAGAAAAAACCTTTTGATGAAGTTTGTTGTTAGGTGGTATCAAGTCAAGTACAATTTATAGCAATCCTGCGAACAACAGATCTGAACCCTGTCCTAGCCTGTGCCAGCCTCATTATTTCTGATGTACTTGAGCCCACTGCAGAAGTCA